AGGGGAGCACCTGGGTATACAGGACCCACCATGATGGCGATTCAATGGTGTTTCTGTAATAAACAAAGACAAGATTCCTCACAAATTCACCTTAAAAACAACAACAGGAAACATAAGCCAAAACTTATAATGACAGTGTTGTACTATAAAGAGAGATATCGGCTTACATGTAATGAAAAACAACCATATACAGATAATCTGTAATTAAATGGTAGTACCTCCATTGTTTAATCTGATTCCGGCTTGGCTCCTCCTTCCCCCTCTGTCCTCTTGTCCACTTCGCCCTTTCCCCTTTCCTCTGTTCCCTTCCCTCTTCCCTCTGTCGTTCATGTCCCACTCCGCCCTCTTCCTCTCTGCCTCCTGTCTCTCTATCCCTTCTTGGTAAGAATCTGCATTACTATGATCTGATGACAAATCTGAAAAACAAAATAGAGGAATTAGTTTGCAGCCTTCAGTGTGGTTGAACATTGGAAAAAAAATACATTTACTACTGTAGCATTATTTCTCCTGAACTTACCTTTTCAGTAAACTTTTCTTCTGTAAAGGGATGTTCTTGCAGGGCGGCTGTGGCTCAGAGGGCAGCGGGTCGTCCCCAAATCAGAAGGTTGTTGGTTCGACTCCTCGCCACGTGTCGAAGTATCCTGAGCAAGATACTGAACCCCAAATTGCTCCCGATTGCATAGCATCGGGTGTGAAATGTTCATGAATGAGTTAGTTTCTGTTTGATGGACTTTACTGAGTGAACGTGTGGGAAAGGGTGAATGTGGCACGTAGTGTTAAAAAAGCGCTTTGAGTGGTCGGAAGACTAGAAAGGCGCTATAACAACTACAAGGTCCATTTACCCATTTACCATTCTTGGAACTGAAAGATGTACCGAGAAAATCTACTTTGTAGAAACAATTTCTCCTTTTTCTGTGGATACAGTAAAAACAAAGAAATAGGAAAACCTGAAACACGGCATGCCTTTATCCATTAGCTAGCAAGTAGTGTTAATGTGATACCCTTGATGAACTTACAGTGGATTTGGGCAAACATTTTAGGATGATGAGACTGAAGGAATATTGTCGTTTAGA